CATTTACAATCTAAAACTCAATAAGAAGCTAACCCTGAAGAAAGTATTGGAAATACTTAAGAGAAAGCAAAATGACCATTTCTTGGGAGAATATCACATTATTAAGACATTCATTTTAAGATTGTGAAAGAACATTTCCTGACACTTGTCAGGACACTTGTGTCAGAACAGAAGTCTTTCCTTTCATCCCCTTTGCTCCTTCCACCATAATCCTTAGTTACCGGGGATTTGGGGAGGGGGGATTCTTACAAGAAAAAGAAATTAAGTATTTTAAACGAAGGAATGTAATGCAGGAGTTGGGCTGAATGAGCAGAGAAAATGAACAGGGTTTCATGGTTTCCAGAAGGTTCCAGAGGTTCATAACAATAGAAAGACACTGCCTCTTCTTGAAGCAAAGAGATCTCAAGGTACCTGATGGAAGCTGCATCACAGTGAGCCTTACCAGCAAGAGTTGGAGTCTCAATGGAGACACATCTGGTGTGTCTGATAGGCAGCCTAAGGAAGAAAAAAGTATCCCTTCTCCATTCTCCTACCACAGTGTCCTCCATTGGCCAAATCTCACCCAAAGCCAGCTGACCCAGGGGAATGGAAAACATAGACTGCAAAGGCTGGCCCCTGTGATTCAGAGCAGGCAGTGGAAGGGTATGGGATTGCTCTGAGTGCAAACTGGACAGGCATGATACAGAATAATACTGTCAAAGCTGATAGATACTAACAATAGAGAGGTTTGGTAGCTTTCTGGATGTTTGTAGAAGTAGACCATGGATCTGTAGGACTGGCTTCATGGGCACATGATCTGTATGGTTGCATAGGCCCCATGTCCTATACATTAATAATCTACAGCTGTAGTTGTGGAATATAGAGAATGTGGCTGTGCTGTCATCTTTCCAGGTTAGAGATGCAAAGGACATTCAAGAAGCAGTGATGCTGCTTTGAGGGCTGAAATTGACTTTGAGGGCTGAACAGTAGTGTCAGTGAGAATCCAGGGGCAAAGGGAAAGGGTTAATAGAAAAAGGGAAGGGAATAGAAGAGAAGGGACCCCCCGACTCTCGCAGAGGGCCAACTCTTTGTGTATTGAGATGCAACCCAATAGATATGGGTAAATATTCTGCTCCATCTTCTGAACTCTGAAGTGTATGAGATCCACTACTAGGAAGATTGAGTATTTTTTGGTAAACAGCTCTGCCTGCCCTTTCCAGAAATTACCAATCCCAGTAGAAGGATTATGATAATTATGTCACAGAAGAGAGCAGAAGATCCATAAAAACTTATATGAACACACCTAATTTCCTCAGGTTTTCCATGAAAGTAGTTTGGTGAAGAACTTGAAATCTGTAATAAAGATGAGAATTTTCTTATTGAATACACTCAGTGTGCTTCATTTTTCAATTTCCTATGCTACTAAACTCTTTCCATTCCTCTTTTATGCATTGCTAAACAGTTATGGGTCATAAAAGTTTTTAAATTCCTGGGTCTATAGCTATATTTATCTTATCTGTTTTTATTCAGACCAAAGAGGCTAGACTCTTGAATTTTTATCTTTTATTTTACTAAGATCTTAGTAACAATGTTTATCTTATAAACAGTAAATGTCAAAATTATACAGAGTCTCTCTTTTGATATGTTGAGGTTTTTATTTAACATATCTACTTAATGTTTACAATCTGCTAGGCATTGTTCTAAGTGCCTTACAAATATTTGCACACAAACTCTACCCATCTTAAGTTCTCCATTTGTTAAAGCCCTTTGTTGAAGTGTTCTTTAACAAAAAGACAGGTTAACAAGAGAAAAACAGTTTAATGCATACAGGGTACATCATTCAGGAGAAACCTTAACAAAGAGTTAACACCAAGTGGTGGCTTAGAACTCTGGCCTATAAAGTGCTATCATCTTCAACAGTGAACACTAAATTTGTTTAGAAGTGGTACCACAAAGGAAAACTATTTTAGGCTTCCTAGAGTGACAAACTGCAGGAAGATCAATATATAGGAAGAATCTAATGGAGTAAGGTTAATTTGCAGATTGCTGTAGTGCTGATAGAAGTCTAGAGTCATCTCCAGTAAAGCAGAATTTATATCCTGCCTTTAAGCAGAAAGGGTGGGGAAGTAGAGAGAGTTTTTCCTGTATTTGTTGCTTCCTAATTGTTGTCAGCTCAAAGCAATGTTTATGTCGAAATATTTTGGGGTGACATATTCCTTCCAGAGACACTATTATTTCATTTTCAGATGAGAAAACTGAGGCACAAAGTACCTCTTTGTGAATGAACATGTAGCCTGAAACCCCTAAAATAGATTTTTCTATTCTGTAATTCTTTTTTTTTTTTTAAAGATTTTATTTATTTATTTGACAGAGAGAGATCACAAGTAGATGGAGAGGCAGGCAGAGAGAGAGAGAGAGAGAGGGAAGCAGGCTCCCTGCGGAGCAGAGAGCCCGATGCGGGACTCGATCCCAGGACCCTGAGATCATGACCTGAGCTGAAGGCAGCGGCCTAACCCACTGAGCCACCCAGGCGCCCTCTATTCTGTAATTCTTAAACTGGTTTCCCTTTACTGGAGTTTTTCACAAGCAGAAAGAAACAAGAGAAGTTTCTAGATCCTCTACACCTCCCTTACCTAAGTTCTAGTTTATAGAAGATCCCAAGAATACTTCTTTTAAACTACGTATCCAAACTATAACACTACTCTGTGCATCATACCATCTTTTAATGTCCACACCCATTGTGTTAAAAAATCACCAAGTTTTTCTTAAAACATACAAAATGCAAAGACTAACAGAAGGTATCTGCCTTGAAAGAGATCCACAAGAAAAGAACTGAAGGTAATGTGTTAGCAGGCAGGCAGGAATACCTGACACTCCTTGCTCCCAACACACACACACACACACACACACACACACACACACAAACAAGTGTAGGGAGAAAGATAGCAGGGAAGCTTCCTTGAGAGGTGATTCTCACACTGTATCTTGAAGGGGAACATGTAGTTCACCAGGCAGAAAAGCAAAAAACAATTTCCAGGACTAGCATGTAGAGAGGCACAGGCCTGACACAGTATACAAAGTGCAGGAGATGTGTATTGTTAGAAGATAGTTTTCTCCCCCAAAAGATAAAGTCATGATTTTCATAGAGATGTTAAAATGAAAGTGTGTTAATGACTTTCTATCATCAGGCAGATTTTATAATTACCAGTTGAAAAGACAAGTCTGAAGAACAGACACATTTATAGATCAGGAATTTTAAAGAGAATGTGCAAATTGAGGCAAAACTTGGTTCTTCCACCAGTGAGAGGAGAAGTCAACTGACAGAATTTGCATGTCTATAGACCATTCTTATGTATTGCTACTACTTATTTAAAACTTAGAGCTGTAAGATAGCTCCCATAGAATCAGAATCAGATAATGCAGAAGGGTGACTCCTTCACATAATTTTCCACCGAAGCTCAACTTCTCCCATACAGTGACAGTGAGAGACAAAATTCGTTAAATATCTAGTGGCCACATCAAAGAGAGCCACAAATACCAAACTGAAGAGTTTGGACTTCTTTCTGCTAGTTGTAGTCTCTGAGTAAAGAAAATTCATGAGGAGCCAAGCTGAGAAATGCCAGCATCTCCTTTCATGGGAGGGGAGGGGCAAGACCGGCAGCAGGTAGAAGCTTCTTTGGAATAATACAAATATCCCCAGCTAGACCCCAAGATCTGACTGTACTGCCCACCTGCTTGTACTCACTGACCTTTGTCCCACATTTTTCCTTAAGCTCTTTTTTCCTGCATATACCTTAACTCAGGCAAATGAAAGTGAAATTTCCCTGGAGCAATAACGACTTGCCTCTGCCAACCCAGACAACCCACACTTGTTTGAACTTTACCCCAGACTCACGCTTGCACAGTTGGACCACGGAATGGCCTGTGGAATGATTGATGACTACTTTTACCTCATTATAATACTAAAATCTCCAGCCAAGGAGGAGCCTGAGCCTCGTTTACATAACATACATTATGTATAGGCATATTTTCTTAAGACACATGCAGGATCCTACGCCTGCCTCTACATATGATAACAAGGCTTCTCTATCTAAATATTCATCCTAGCCCTAAATAAAAGGAACCCATTCACCCCTGCTAGGGAGTCAGGGCTTTGGAAGTTATTACCCATGATCTCCTTATTTGCTGCAAATGAAGTTTCTCTGTGCCACAACTCAGTCTGGTGCAATTTCTGACTCACCAAGGAGCAAACTCAAGGTTGGTTCGATTACACAAGGACAGAAGCATGAATATAATTTAGGAGGCTGATGCAGTAGATCAGTCAGATTCTGGGAGCCAGAACCAAATAGCAAAGGGGAGAGTGGCTGACAAACACAGAAAGTAGAATCAAGCAGACGTAATCAATGTGGCTGAGAGGGATGATGTGGAAAGAAGCTGTCTCTAAAGGTTTCTGAATTTCTTAGACAAGTGAGTGGATGGTGGCACATCTACCAACACAGAAGGAGCAAGCTTGTGAGGGAAGATAAGCTCAGTGTTGCAACTGTACAAGAGCTTGAGGTGCCTATAGGATATGTGGGTAAATAAATCAAGAAGGCTGATAGAAAGGGACCCCACGTGGTTTGGGATGGTTAAAAGCCACTGGCCGGCAGTCGTCTCTGCCAGCCGCCAAGCGGAAGGGACAGCAGGTGAGACAAAGAGCCCTGAAAGTTTCCAGGAGGCTCTAGCCAAGAAAGGCGCCACGGGCCACGGTCGCAAGCAGGGAAGCCCGAAATCATGGTTTGCACCGGCTCGGGCCCTTCCGCCCGTTGGGCCCCGCCCAGCCTGCCTAGGTCTGCAGCGCACATACCCCACTTCCGCTTCCGGCCCCGAGCCAGAAGGCAGGCGGCGCGGAGCTGGGCCAAGGCTGGGGTCTTGGCAGCGGAAGCAGCTTTCGCGCGGCGGGTGGGCGCCTGTGAGCGGGTGCGGCCGGCCTTGGAGTGCATCGGAGGGCATCGGCTGGCAGGGCGGGCCGCCCGGGGCGGATGCGGCGGCCGCTGCCCTCGGGGCCCACGGCAGCCCACAGGCGTGAAGGCGACGCGCGAGGCCCGAGGAAGCGAGGCCGGCGGCCAGGGCCAGGCGAAGCGGGAGGCTGCGGCCCTGAGGTCTGGGAACGCGAGGAGAGCAGGCAAAAGAGGAGAATGGTGGCCCGGGCGTCTGGGAGAGAAGAGGTGGAAAGTGACAAGTCGGGTGAGGCGTCCGGGACTGGGAAGGCTGCTGTGAGGCGGCTGAGAGGAGGGTCTGGGGGCCAGGGGAGCCCTTCGGACCCCTCGGATCCTCAGGGATTAGAAGCAGTGAAGGAGGCGGAGCTCCCCTTGCATTTGGGAAGACAGCAAGAAAGCGCTCAGGGATTGCTCCCATTTTTGCATTTGCACCTTAGCCTGCCCCATCATTGTTTCACGCTAGTGTTTAACTTGAGTTTGTGTGGGCTTTACCGATGCACGTGGTTGACCAGGAGAGGGGGAAGAACAGTAATTCTCTTAGAAGGTGTTTGCCCTGTTAGGAGCCCTTGGTCAGAATTACGGTAAGAGGAATTCCTACTAGTGATCCATTTTGGGTAGTGTGAAGTGATACTGATGCTAGAGGTTATTCAGCTGCCTTGAAATTTATGCAGATTTGTATGTAGTTCCTTAACAGAAATTAGGTCTTTAATTTAAAAGCATTTGTGTGTTCCCATACAGCTATTCAGGGAAATAAAAGTGGATGGCTTCACAATTTTTAAATTTTAAGTGGTATTGCTTTTTCCTCCTCAATATAAAATCTTTTCTGGTATGTTTTGTTGTTTTGATCAGCCAAGGAAAAAAGAAAAGTTACTGAAGCCTCAAGTGATGATCTACAGCCAGGGACTGACCTGGTAAGAAAGGAATCATTAACCAATTTGGAATCTTTCCAAACAGTGGAGTGCAGTGAATTTCAAAGTATGGCTTTCTTGTGGTCTTTGGGTAAGGAGGGTTTGGTAGAAGGTATCAAAAGAAGAATTCGAATTAAAAAACTTAAGGGCTTAGAAAGCCCTTAAAAAAGCCCTCTCAAAATAACTGAAAATAAGACTACACAAAATATTAAGGTTGAATTCCAAGATGAACTGTACAAGAATACTCCAAAATATTCTTGTAACAGCTTGTCACCTGTAGTAGAAAGTAATTCCATTTTAAAATTACATGATTGCAGTTGTTTCCCCCATTCCAAGGGTTGTAATGATGAAAATAGCCTTTCATATAAACATGATGGTGGACGTATGCATGTACCAGAAAATTCCTGAAAGTTAAAGAAAGAAAACTTTAGGAGTCTTGCAGATAAGAGTGACACAAATAATGCTCCTCAGCTTTAACAAACTGAAGAAAACTTAATGGGAGTAAATAAGTTATTGCTTGAAAAAACTGATTTATACCAAAGTAAAAGTAATGGCTTGTTTTCCTGCCTTCAGAATGAAAACAATAAATACTCAATAGAGGAGAGCAATGTTGGGAGAAAACCCAGGAAAAGGATGAAGGTGTCTGAAAAAGGAGATGAAATGATTATTGAGATGAACTTCTCTAATATGTATAGCAAGTCTGAGTTGGTATTACAAGAAAACCAAACAGGTGCTGAGGATAAAGGAGCAGAGACTTTAGAGGCTAAAAAAAGTCCTTTAAAAGTTTTGAGAAACATAAACCACAATACACTCTCCCCAGTGGATCATTTATTAAGTCTTCCAGAAACAGCAGGGGAAAAAACAAGTCCTGGACATCATGTAAATGCTATGTTTCAGAAAACCCTTGAGCCACTTTTGGAAGAAGAAATAAAAAATGCTTCAGAGCACTTAGGATTTAAAAGCATGGAGCCAGAAGAGTATATTAAGTTGATGCAAAGCTCGATAGTGAAATTACCTAGTGCTTGCCGTAATTTGGAAAAGAGATCTTCATGGGAAGACTTGAGAAATGAAGCTGAAGAATTGAAGTTAGGCTGTCACAGAGCAATACCGATGACTGGTAAAAGAACTTGGCCTTGTTATTCCTGTGCTAGAATATCTGCCCAGTGTTGGAAAAAGTCTTCCTTGCCAGATTCAAGTAACTGTCTTCCTGGGTCTCGGGAAAGTTTTAAGCAAGATGATTTTCTTAAACACCAAACAAATCAAACTCACTTAACTGATTCTAAATTAGCATTACAAAGTACCATAACAGAAACAAACAGTGAATCTTCAAGTAAAGAAAAATTGGATTCTAATTTAAATTGTTCGTCTTCAGTTTCCACAATAGAACCTACTTTAATGATTATAAAGGAACCCATAATTGATGATAAAATGATACAGTCAGAGGAACCAAGCAGAAGTGGTTCAGAGGTAGTTTGTAATACTACTGAAGATACTCAGCTAACTAATGTGCCTCAAAACTTAACAGGAAATAAAAAAAAAGATAGAGGGAATTTAACAAAATTTAATTTGACAGTGGCTTCCCAGGATGTCCAGGAAGCAAATAACTCTATAGGCAAAACTATTCATCGAAAAGCATGCATTGCTAAGCAAACCCTTGTGGTTCCAGACTTGGTGAAAATACTGAACACAGGCCGGCTGACTAATTTTAAAATTCCATTACTTAAGAATAAAACAGAAAAAAGGAAAGAAATAAATGCAAGGTCATCAGAGAGAGAAGCATATAGTCCCTTAGAACTTCTTGACAGTTTATCTGGAGCCGAGGTAAGACAAAATAGGAATAAAGAAAATATTTCTACAGTAACTTCAGGACCTCAGTCTTTGAGAATACAAAATAGTGTAACTCCAGTGCAAGCTAATTCTGACTCATGCAGCTGCAAGCATTCCTGTAGTATTTCTTCAAATTTTTTAAAGCAAGGTAATGGTAATAAACCATCCAACCACATCTCTGAACCAGGCAATATTATTTCAAACAAGGAAGCTGTTTCTCTCACAGTTGAAAGAAATACTTTTTCTTGTGATCTTGGGTGTATAGAGAAAAGTCCTGCTTTCTGCTCTAATGAACAAGAAACATTCAAACCAGTTTTCTCTGAAGTTAGTGGTGGAGAAATGACTAAGAACTTTTCAGAAATTAAAATGGGGTTTCCAGATATTCTTAAAGCATATGAAGATGATGTCCTCTTAATTGATGTCATTCAAGATGACCCAGACCTCTTTGGGGTCTCCAGTGAAGGGGAGCTCTCATTTACTTCAGAGTTCCCTATGATAAACCAGGAACCCAATGTTGCTGAAGAGCACCAGTCAACAGACTCTAAGCACATGGTACTTCCAGAAAAAAAAGAACCAAGCGATGACTTGAGGTATGCATGTTCAAGTATGCTTTTGGTGCAGATTATTGTTGGGGTTTTCAAAAGCATTTTCTGCTCTTAAGTATCACTAATTTATTCAGTGAACACTGAAGCTCCATTATTTTTTTAAACCCATTTATTTACTAAATGTAATACAGCACATTACTGCTGAGACCTGGACATGTCATTATGCTAAAATTAGTGAAAATGAAACAATTACACACATCTTAGAAATTATAATGGGGCAGATTAGCTGTTCAGAATTTAAAAAGATGGTTTGTAAAGTGGCTTTTAAAACTACTAACATTGCTTCTTTCAAAAGTGTATTTGTTTTCCTATTATTACAACAAATATAGAGATACACTTTATTTTTTTTTTAAGATTTTATTTATTTATTTGACAGAGATCACAAGTAGGCAGAGAGGCAGGCTCCCTGCTGAGCAGAGAGTCTGATGTGGGGCTTGATCCCAGGACCCTGGGATCATGACCTGAGCTGAAGGCAGAGGCTTTAACCCACTGAGCCACCCAGGCACCCCAGATATACTTTTATTTCTGACAAGTTACTTATTAAGAAGCTTATATTTTAACCCATCTTCTGTGACTTCCTTCTTAGATAAAAAATTAATTTTTTAAGGAACTTAGAAGCCTTAGAAAGTTTATTTGATGTATTTAGGACTCGAGAGTAGAATCGAAAGTTAAACCAGTTTTCAGAGGAAAGTAGCATTTTCTCAGGGTTCTGCTCTTTAAGGTGGTGGTTCTAAATGATGATTTAGCCCCCAAAGAGGGCAAGTTTGCCTGAGGCAACTTAAAAATGGAACCAAGTGGTAACCTTTGTGCTCAGGAATTTGATCCATTCTGGTTGGTCCAAATTTTATATTATGTCACATTTTACTAAACTTTTATGATTCTTTAAACTCTGATTTATATGTTACAATACTTGAATAAAAGGAATGTTTTGTGAACAGACTCAAAAGGAAACATGAAAACATTTTCTGCTAAGATTCACTGCTACATGACTTAAGTCTCTCTGGTATTTATAAATTTTATTTGGTTACTTTTGTGATATCATATTCTTCTTGATGTTCTTAGTGTTTTAAGAAATTGTTATTTATCACCAAATAGAATACTTTCTATCTGTTAAGTGGCGGTCTAAGAGCTTTATTATTTATTTTTAGTGATGTAATGAGATAGGGTTGATAATCTGCCCATTTTGAAGATGGAAAAAGTAAAGATGACAAGTTGTCACTTGTCCAGGGTCACACTGCTACTAACATAATCTGGATTTAATTTAGGTCTGTCTTACTGTAGAATTAAGGGCTTAAGAAAAAAAAAAAAATCGTGGTCAAGAACTTGACCTTTGTATTCCTTATAATTTTTTAATCTCCTTGCCACCTAGCAGCTAAGAGACCTTTTAGGCAAATTATTTTATCATATCTGTAAAAAGGGAAGATACTTGCCTCACAGGTTAAATCAAAGAATGGATTTTGGTTTTAGCATGGCACTGGGTGAGGAGTAAGGGTTCAATAGAAGGTAGTTTTTGAACGTGATTTTAACTCTTGTTATACCATGCTTCCTTTGAGGAATTCAAAGGGAAATTAGAACAAATCTTCTATTTAAGAGAAGACGTCTCTGTTAGCTAGTAGGATGTTGATAAAGACCTACCACCAAAGTTAGAAAGAGAAAACTGTGAATTGGGCAGGAAGTTTGCTGTTTTTCTGTTTGTTTGTTTGTTTTTAGTATAATGGCTCATTTTTGAAAAAGTGATACATGTTTGTTACAGTAAAAGTATAAAAGGGGGAATCCTAAAACTACCACCCCAAATAACAAATTAATTGCCAACAATTTGTATTTATTTAGGCATATAGGTAAATATAATTTTAGAAAAATTGTAGCATGCCATTTTTTAGTAAAAACATTTACTTTTATTAACTCTTTTTTTTTAAAATCATTTTTTAAAATTTATTTTCAGCATAACAGTATTCATTGTTTTTGTACCACACCCGGTGCTCCATGCAATCCATACCCTCTCTAAAACCCACCACCTGGTTCCCCCAACCTCCCACCCCCCCACCTCTTCAAACCCTTCTGATTGTTTTTCAGAGTCCATAGTCTCTCATTGTTCACCTCCCCTTCCAATTTCCCCCAACTCCCTTCTCCTAACTCCCCATGTCCTCCATGCTATTTGTTATGTTCCACAAATAAGTGAAGCCATATGATAATTGACTCTCTCTGCTTGAATTATTTCACTCAGCATAATCTCTTCCAGTCTCGTCCATGTTGCTACAAAAGTTGGGTATTCATCCTTTCTGATGGAGGCATAATACTCCATAGTGTATATGGACCACATCTTCCTTATCCATTCGTCCGTTGAAGGGCATCTTGGTTCTTTCCACAGTTTGGCGACCGTCGCCGTTGCTTCTATAAACACTGGGGTACAGATGGCCCTTCATTTCACTACATCTGTATCTTTGGGGTAAATACCGAGTAGTGCAATTGCAGGGTCATAGGGAAGTTCTATTTTTAATTTCTTGAGGAATCTCCACTCTGTTCTCCAAAGAGGCTGCACCAACTTGCATTCCCACCAACAGTGTAAGAGGGTTCCCCTTTTTCCACATCCCCTCCGACACATGTTGTTTCCTGTCTTGCTAATTTTGGTCATTCTAACTGGTGTAAGGTGATATCTCAATGTGGTTTGAATTTGAATCTCCCTGATGGCAGTGATGATGAACATTTTTTCATGTGTCTGATAGCCATTTGTATGTCTTCGTTGGAGAAGTGTCTGTTCATATCTTCTGCCCATTTTTTGACATGATTATCTGTTTGGTGTGTGTTGAGTTTGAGGAGTTCTTTATAGATCCTGGGTATCAATCTTCTGTCTGTACTGTCATTTGCAAATATCTTCTCCCATTCCGTGGGTTGCCTCTTTGTTTTCTTGACTGTTTCCTTTGCTGTGTACAAGCTTTTGATTTTGATGAAGTCCCAAAAGTTTATTTTGGCTTTTGTTTCCTTTGCCTTTGGAGACATATCTTGAAAGAAGTTGCTGTGGCTGATATCGAAGAGATTACTGCCTATGTTCTCTAGGATTCTGATGGATTCCTGTCTCACGTTGAGGTCTTTTATCCATTTTGAGTTTATCTTTGTGTATAGTGTAAGAGAATGGTCGAGTTTCATTCTTCTACATATAGCTGCCCAGTTTTCCCAGCACCATTTATTGAAGAGACTGTCTTTTCCACTGTATATTTTTTCCTGTTTTGTCGAAGATTAACTGACCATAGAGTTGAGGGTCCATATCTGGGCTCTCTACTCTGTTCCACTGGTCTATGTGTCTGTTTTTATGCCAGTACCATGTTGTCTTGGTGATCACGTCTTTGTAGTAAAGCTTGAAATCAGGTAACGTGATGCCCCCAGTTTTATTTTTGTTTTTCAACATTTCCTTAGCGATTCGGGGTCTCTTCTGATTCCATACAAATTTTTGGATTATTTGCTCCAGCTCTTTGAAGAATACTGGTGGAATTTTGATTGGAATGGCATTAAAAGTATAGATTGCTCTAGGCAATATAGACATTTTAATAATGTTTATTCTTCCGATCCAAGAGCATGGAATGGTCTTCCATCTTTTTGTGTCTTCTTCAATTTCTTTCATGAGTGTTCTGTAGTTCCTCGAGTACAGATCCTTTACCTCTTTGGCTAGGTTTATTCCCAGGTATCTTATGGTTCTTGGTGCTATAGTAAATGGTACTTTTATTAACTCTTAATTGAGGGTATGGGGACTAAGGCAAACCTAAAGGGATTGCGGAAACAATACACTTCTCTATCACAGGAGATTAGTTTCTCAGTGTCTCTTTTAAGTTAATAAGATTATTTAAAAGTTTTAATTTGATCATGGACTTTTAAAAATTGTATTCAAAGTTCAGATAGCAGGCAGCAGCATTTGCTTTCCTGACATGAAAGATGAATATAACAGTACATTTTGGCTTTTTCTTCTGGTTTTGCCAACAACTTTTTTGTTTAAAAAAAAAAAAAAGTTTTATATTGTTAAGCCTTTTATCATTAACATTCTCTTCAATAATCTGAATTCCCAAAGGCTCTTACTCTTAGTTATGTATTTAAATTGATTCAGTTCCCCACCACCAATCCTTTTACTTTCCTCTAATATTGACTATTTAGTTGGCTATATTTTAAAGCTCTTTTTTTTTTTTTTCAGGAAGAGTTCATGATGGCTCTGTTCTTTAAGATCTTGGATACATGGGAGTGTTGCCTAAGAGCAAATTGGGTATAAAATTTTCAACTTATGTTTTTCCTTTTTACAACTATATAGTCATTTCTACCTGTTTTCTCGCTTTGAGTGGAGTTGTGGAAAAGTCTGAAGCCAAACTAATTCTCTGTCACTCCTTTAAACTGCTGCCACTGCTTCCACCATTATTGTCTTCTTTTCCTGCTCCCTCTTCCTCCTCTGCTGTCAGTTGTTTCTCCTAGACAAGATGAATCAGTTTGATTTGCAGTATCAAATTTACTTCAGATGATTTTTCTGATTGTCTTTGAACTTCATTTCTCTTTATTTCAAAAGCACCAATTATACTTTTATTGGCTTCTTTTCTTTCATATCTCCTTCTGAAATTTTGGTTTTCAAATAAACTTGAAAATTTCCTCAGTTATTTTAAATGTTTTCTGCAATAGAAATAACAGTTTTATAATCATCTACAGTGCTAGAATAAACTTAACAGGGAAAAGTTGAGGTCTGATAACGAGAGGATCTGCTAATAGTTGTGCAGAAAGTTCTTAATGGTTCTAGAACTAAATGAAGCTTAAAATATAATTTCAAATTTCACTTCTTTCCCTTTTATCAACCAGTTGCTAGTTCATGTATAACTTTTTCCTCATGCTAAGACAGTAAGAGGTTGAAGCCTTTAGACTTGAGTTTGCATTTTATAGGAACAGAAATTAAAGGTGGGAGGGTTAGGCCCAAATATTGTTAGAAGCTCTGGACTTCCTCTTTTGTTAAAACAGGTAGA